TATACAGTGACTCATTTGTTTGATGAAAAACTTTTATGCAATTTCTATTTATATATTCTGCTTATTATGACTGTATCATCCATTTGTGATAAATTTTTCTTAATTTTTAAATGAAATATGCATGTTGTTAAATAATCTGGTGAAATAGAAGTGACAGTCTTTCGTGAACAAACTTGTGAGCCACTGTATGTATGCGTAAAATCGATAAAGTACGGATTACTCGATTCTTAGAGAATTTTAAGTGTACATTCATGCGTACTATTTGAAATTTTCAAAGCACTTACTCATAACATGACTAAGTGAATTATTTTAAATACTTCTTCCATCCTAACCCAATGAAACGAATCACGGATATCGAGCGATTAATATTCGTGAGTGCATGTTGAACTTGGCCTCGCCGCTAATAAACAATTAGAATCGTTTCCATGGACGGTCAGATGAACACGGCGGAACAATAACGGGTGTAATCGAAAGAGATCTCGCGAGCCATGCACCGTTTTTCTATAGATGCGGCAACTCATTTGCCACGTAATTAATGCTCACGAGTCCACCGGCCATGAACGCATAGTTTATATTAATTACACCCCGGAAGATTCAATTAGTGCATTTCTCATTACACTTACTTATACCAGTATCCATTATTCATAAGGAACCAGCGCGGTCGAGTTTCCTGACAATGCACGTGATCGTTACACACAGAGTGTATTGTTCCAGGGAGATTTTCGTACATGGATTTTGATAAAAATGCATCTGGAGCAGGCCCGACGACGTTAAGGTTGCCTCGCTAATGAAAATCTCTTTGGTGCTTCATTGTTAATGCCGCCGGAAATTTTGCAGTGCTCGTTAGATCCAGCAATCATTAACACATTGAATGTTCATCGGCCTTCCTCACGCCTTATCCTTGACGTCATAATGTGTAATACATTTTGGAAGTAATAATCGTATCACGTTTATTCCGAGTAGTGCGTTAAACATTGATGTGAAATAACTCTACTAAGCTAAGAATCCAAGATTCGTGATTCTTTAACAGTTAGAATTTAGTGAAAGATTGTGAAATAAGTGATTTATAGGGAAATTAATTATCATTGATATAACATTATAGGTGAATTTTTTCCACAAAACAAATTTAACAGCAGTATTCCCGACTCATCGTAAAATAAAGCCAAAGAAGGTCAGAATAGTTCCTCTGATACTCGAAAGCTTCACCTTTCTATTAAATCTTACATTGGCTTTCTAACGAACAATGTTTACTTTAAGTAAACTATTTAAAATATTATAAATCATTCAATTTTGCTTCAATACAAGAGAAAATTATATTTTTCAATAACGTCTCTATCTTAATTACTTCGTCCTTAACTTTCACTTTCCATGAATTTTCAAGATGAAAATTCAAAACGAATTCTTCCCATTTCTCCAAGTTTAACTTATCGTTACTTGTACAAACGAATAATAAACTACTTTTTCTAGTTTCTCTACTTGTTTTTAAAAGAATCAAGAACGCGTGAAAAATAACGGTTCACTCATTAGCGCACCCAACATTGCGTTTTTCGAAATGAATCGGTACTATCATTGGGCACTTCAAACTCATAACTCAAAACTCATTCATTTTTCCTAATTACCCTCCGTATGCAACATTAAATTTTGTATACGAGGCAGCCACGAGAATAAAATTATTATAATGCATCCTTGTTCTCCGGTAATTATCTTGTATCTTAACTGTGCTGCACATGAAAACGAACCTCCGGTTGCGTTAACGGAACCCCCTGTATAACTTTTAAGCAAATTGTATTTTTAACCGATGCAAGCAACCCAACCAGACAAAACTTCCCGCGGCGGCGGTACAGTTACTCCGTGGGTTTTAATTGAATTCGATCGAGTATAAAGTTTACTCCGTATTTACATCGACTCCGCCCCGCGCTAACCACCCCGTGGGTTCATCGTGACAACGAAAATCGAATCACTTATCAGAAAAATGATAAGTTTCAACGTACAAAATTCTGCGACGCGAGCGACATTAACTTCCAAACAGCCATTCCACGCGCAAATATTCGCAGACAAAGCGAAACAATAAAAAAAAGCTGTAGTTGATAAATCATTTAGCTCGAGAAAATTGAATCCCAAAATTTCCCGCGTTCGCACGTGCTTAATTAACTAAAACGAATTTTCGAATCGGATTTTTCTCGAAAAGACAAACCTACGTTCGATACAATTGATTTGTACCATTTTCGATTTATTTTCGCGTGAGAAATCATCTGTTTAAAATATTCGTCTGTTTTAGAGAGCTTTTAGAGCGTTTTCACTTTTGATGTTACCTTTATCAGGAAATGTTTCTCTTAACGATTTCGCAGAGGACGTTCGCGGTTTGGGACGTTCCCGTTTACTTTTCAAAATTACCTGAAATCTTCCGCGGGAATCGGCCAAGCTATAATATCGAGCCGGCGAATATGCGAGAAGCAGGCGTTCGCGCGTCGCCATTTTTTTTTTCACACCCTTCCGTCCGGTTGCAAAACTTCTCGTTCGAATGGGAGGAGAGGACAGTAAAAATGGGCAACGGCGCGATAAAACTTCAACACGTAATCCGGACGCGACGCTCGTGGCTGAAATAGCTTAAAATTGTCTTCAGTCCAACGCCTCGGAACGCGATGAAAGAGTAGGTCGAGGGGCGCTTGACAAATCCTTTGGCCGGGCTCTCGATATTTTTCGCCGACGTCTCGCGGAAATATCAACCGTGCGCGTGGCGAACGCGGATGCTGCCTCGTGAACATTTAAATGGACCGACCCGAATCGAAGACAGACGTAAAGCGATTATGAGACGGCTGTAGCAGATTTATGAGAATGAAGTATTTACCTATAGAATAAATCAATAAATATCTCACCACCTGATTCATTTTTCTACGTCCATAAATTTAACAGAGATAGAATTCTTGTGTTTTTTTAAAGCTGGCATTACTAGATGGAATTTCTTAATTGAATTATTTAAGTTGAATGAACTTATTACCGATGTCCTTCCTGTGATACCCAGGTGAATATCTCTAAATAGAGGGAATACTTTTGAAAACCGAACTCCTAAAATGAAAAAAAAATAGACTATTTTCGAAGAAAGTTTGGTTTTTACGAGATGAAATTATTCAATTTAATTGTATTCAAATTAAATTAAGTTATTGATAATTCTTTGTGGGATCTAGCTAAATATTCCTAAAAATAGGAAATCCTTTACAAATCTGCCATTTACAATGCGAAAAAATCTACTCTTTCCGGAAGAAATTCGGTATTCACATGATGAAATTTCGCAATTTAACTATTTCAGTTACGTGAACTCACTGATGATGCCTTGTGGTACCTAGCTAAATATCTTTAAAAATAGGGAATACGTTTCAAAATGCACCATCTACAACGCAAAAAAATCTACCATTTTCGGAAAAAATTCGGTTTCAAAGCCAGCGACATGGGAGACGAGGAACATTTCGAATTCACTGTGAACAACGTTTCAAGAAGACCAGATTTTCGATGGCAGTCGCTGCACGGAAAGTCTGGTATTTTTCGTACGCATTCGATACACGGTATATCGCGATACAATCGACAAACACGGATTACGCTACGTTGTATAATCCGTAAAATGCGCGATTAATAACGATCGTATACATATACACGAGCGACGAACACCGTACAAACTAGCGAATTTTATCAAACGCACAGCACGGATGCATCGTGGAATCGGTCAACGTGGGAGCGAACATTTTTCCAAGCAGTAAATCAGTTTTTTTCAGCCCGAATAGAACTGAATATTTTCAATGTCTCGTATCAGTTTTTTTAATTATCACGGAAGAGAACGAAACATTTACACTTTATTTAATCTAATAATTTCTGTAATATGTTCAGAAACTTTTGAAATATTTTAATCGTATGTTTTGTACTTCTTTAATTATTACTTTCAACAGTTTTCTCACATTGAACACATTTATTATAACTTTCCGACTTTCATTCGATGTTTTCTTTCTGATCTAAAATTTGTCAGATTTCTACATTTAATGCACAATTATCATGAATTAGCGTAATAGTTTTTTCTTACCACTCTAAAAATCTGTGCTTTGAAAATCCCAATTTAGCTCGTTTAAAAGATTCCTCATAATATAGACTAAATATCATGTATTCAGTTTTCCCTAGGAAACACTTACTACATTCATAACCGTAAACAATATCAATGATTCTAAAATAACTTTTAAAATATCTGTTTAATGGTCATCATCAATTTCCATCGATTCCTCACCCTACATCATGCATTCACAACATTAAACACCGATTTCCGTCATTTCCGGAATACCATCTCAAAAATCAACCGGCCATAATATCTTACTAACGAGCAGAGACTAAATCCTCGTAGAATGTCATACGAACAGGGAAAAATCTCTCGACAATACGCGATTGTACTTACGGTATATACCACCATATACATGGTATATACCATCCGTGCCATATCCCTCCCACCGATCGCGAAATTCTTCGACGGATACTTTCCTCACAATCGAACAAGCAAATAGCCGACCGACCGTCCGAATATCGTATTGAACCCGTTACGCTTTCAGCGAGGCGACTCACGTGCTGTATAAAGCGGGCCTCTCCCTCCCTGATCCCCTGTCTTCTCCGTACAAACGACACACACGTCTATTTTACCCATCGTCTCTCTCTCTCTCTCTCTCCCCCGGTCATTTAATCATTCCGCGGAACGCTTACACGTTTCATGGAATTCCCTTATTCGGGCCGCCCGCCGTCGGGGGCATACATACATGTACGATCCCCCGGATGCGTGGCACCGTTCAATGTCCACGGGTGTATCTGGTAGGAAGACTGATCTCAGAACAGTCTTCCTGACCCGTTTGACGTTTCCACCTAGAAATATCAACGTCGATCACGCAGGTCCATACGAACACACGCACACACATATCGACATGAACATTTCACGGTCGCACGAGCGAGCGAATACGATAACGATTCAATCTTACCTGGGTTGCTGTCGGCGTTCGAACTGAACAGCACGCACAGTCCCGTCTCGTAGTTCACCGCCAGGCAGGAGTCGTTCGCCTGACAGATCTCCAGACAGTCGGTGAGCATCAGGGTTCCTGGTATGGACTCGAGCATGTTCGTCGGCGCTGTGTACACGTAACCGGTCACCAGCTCGAAGCCCACCATTTCTGGGTCGCACTCGTCGGAACCGGCGGACGGGCCTGTGTAATCCGGCCCAGAAAACCCGGACGGGACCGCAGAGGAGGCCTGCTGCTGCTCAGCCGCGTGTGTGGACTCTGCGGTCGCCACGCGACCGTACCTCGCGATAGCCTGCAGCAGCAGTAACGTCGCGATGAACTCTCGTGTCATCATGCCGCTCCACCTGTCCGTGCAACTTTATCTGCGAAAAAAAATAGAGAAACACTGGGGTCAGTTAATTGTCCAGATTCGATTTCTCGAGAATGCGCTCGAGAGAATTACAGGACAGCTTTTGGTGCTGCGGGGAAGAGTATTGTTCACGGAATATTACTATAGAGGGTTTTGGGATTGAAAGTGTTTCTGAAGTGTGACTGAAAGTGTTTCACTACTTTCTCGAGTATATGTATGCCTGTACTGTCACTTTAGTTTGGAGCATTCTTTGGTTTCTGGTTTATTGGAAATATTAAATGTTAAGCAAATATTCATGTGTTAAATGAGTCGAACGATTAATTGTATTGTTGGGTACCAATGTTTAATCGTGGAGCGAATTGTTCGATAATTGAATTCAGTAGCAATTTGTGGAAAATCTCGCTTATTACCTATGCCAACAAGTGTACTGTAATAAATGCATCATCATAATTATCGATATTATTTGAAGCAAAAACATGGATTATTCTGCCTTCGTGTTTATTTGAAAATTAGAATAATGGTTGGATCGTAATCGGAATCGGATAAATAACACTCGATGACCGCTACGCATTGCTGACTGCTTGAAATCTTTGATACACTACTGATTCTATTATTCGTTCTCCAGTTTTGAGTCTTTCGTCTAGCGTAAGTTTGAGAAAAAATTCTACGTTGAACAAATAAGGTAATTTCATAATCGTATATTAGAATGCAGTGTGCAGTGCATTTTTCAAAATATTTTATTGAAAGTCGTAGATATAGTTCCTACGGCTAAAATTATTCTGAAGATAAAATGTGCATCTAACAAGTAGAGACAATTGTATAAAATAATGTACAACATATCCACATAATTTTTATAAATGTCAAACTGCAGACCTTAGACGAAAAATGAAAAATTAAGTGACCACTCTTTTGCACAAACTTTGTCAACTTGCAACAATAATCTGTCAAACTAATAGTTCTCGGCAATTCAAGTTACTTCGAACAATCAAAATATTTAACCAATATTTTACCCGCATAAAACGTGCCCAGTAAGCGCAGGGAACTTCGTAAAACGAAAGAACAAAAACGAAATTGTTACAGTGAAATACAAAGTTCTGTGGCAAGTAAAACCATTATTCCTGATTTACGGAAACAGCTCAGTCTCTGAATATAAATGTTAGCAAGTTCAACATTCCAGCTACGGAACCAGTATATCCGAGTTTGGACGTAAATAACCTAGTTTTGTGTACTACTACGTGTAATAATAATAAAATGAGAGCATTGGTTGAAATCTGTCACTGTAGAAGAACGTGCCTTTGCAACCGTACGCTATGAATACCAAGAGACCTCTTGGTCTACATCCTAGATTCACTGAAAATTCACCGCGACTGACCGCCTAATTTTCTTAGTTAACATCGTAACTTTACGAGCGTCGAACACGAACCTTACATGTACATGTAAATTTTTCACCAGATCGCAAAGGAACTTTTCAACAGTTTCAATAATTCCCCATGCAAAAGTACCTACGTACATTGGTTAAAAAGGGGGCGTACGGAAGGGAAAAAAACGTGGTTGCAAAAAATACGAGCACATCGGGTGTCGCGGCCTTTATTTCCGTCGCGTTGTTCTCTAGGCGCGGGAAAACTAAATAACACAGTCGGCGCACTCGACAGCGCTGCCGTTCCAAATATGTACGTTCCCGTGGCTCGATGAAGCGAACAAAAGCTCAAGTGACAAAGTTATAAAAATTCCTGCATCCCCGCGGGAATCGCAGTGAAATCGAACGAGCGTACCCGGTTTCGTTGTTACCCTCGCGTTAAAATAATTGTGCCGATGCACTTGCTCGATTTTTTCCGAGACACACTCTTCGGATCCTGTGGCGAACGTACCTGTCGAATATCAAGCCTCGACTGGAACGAGGTGGAGACGAACGATATCGATGGTGGTCCAGGGGGTTTCTTCGTCCGATATCCAACCAGGATATGTGTACGCTTCTCACAAGAACCGATCGGCTTTCAAAAGGGGGATTTCTCGTTCGAAATACAGTCGATCACCCGGCACAATAAAAGGGGAAACGGTGCGCACCAACGAAGCACAACGGCGTCGATAGGACCGGATTACTTTTCCTCGGAGCACACCCGCGTCAACCACTTCGTAGATCGGCGGACGATTTTGCAATGTATAAATACGCACCTCGCGAGGCACCGCGCTCCAGGGTATAACGACGTCGACCGGCTGGCTCTTAGGCACTGGATACACCTGGCTGAGTCGCGGCGCACGTTTCTTCCTCGACCGATCGGGAGAAGGGGGAGGGGGCAGTGGGACCGCTGCCGACTAAGGAGGACAGAACGGTACGCATAATTCGATCGCAGGTACGACACCATTGAAAACAAGCCAACCTCTTTCTCCTTCTCTTCGCGAGCCTGTCCACCGGTCTCTTTCCGAATTCTTCCCCCATTCCTGTCCCTTCTGTCTACACACGAAATCACGAGAGTCCCCCCTCCCCGCCCCTTCCCTTACCACTCTTCCCCCCACTCCATCTCTGGTTGGGGAGCACAGACAGACCTGGATTTCGTTCACGTCCGTCCAGACGATTGGGTGAAATTCTATTCTTAGCCAGAAGCAACGGTGTTTGGGGGCCCCACCAGTCCCACTGATGTAACCTTGCCACGATACACCCACGAAATTTATTCAGCCACCGGGACACCGGCCCCGTCGCGGAGGCGTCGACGCTAAACGGGCTCCTCGACTTATGCGATCGAAGTACCTGCCGCGGCGAATAATCCGTGACACTGCGGAAACACTCGAATTCCTGACGCAAGCCTCCGAGAGTTTCGGATACTGTTCAAACTGTGATTTTTTGGGGTAGTGGAAATCGGATGCTGGTGAATATTGTGGGACTCACGGGGTGAAATTTGGTCCGTCGAAAGTGTCTGCAATTTGAGCAATATCTTACAATCGCCTAATTTTTCTCGCAGCTATAATTTCAAGGTTTTTCGAGAACTTTTGGAACGGTCGTCGGAGCTGTTGCTGAAAGACTATTGCTTTTTCTGTTGTACAGTCTTCAACTTATAACTTTACGAAGTTACCATGAACTATTTATTACCAGTAGGACGTTTGGAGCCTCTAGTATCCGAACTAATAGGGTGACACCAGCGTTCGGATGAAGGAATTTTCGGATAGTAGAACAATAATTTTTCTGATACTAAACTTCATTTCTTTAAATGGAGATCAAGAAAATCGATAGTTTGCTTAGGTATTAATGCATCCCATATCATTTTAGCTGTTAAATTTTTCAACACAAATGCCTGCGGTCGACGAATCGAACAAACAGAATTCGTTCGATCGAACGAACAGAAAAAAGTACACGTTCTATGTAAACACTACAGACTTGCAACACGAGAAGGCATCTGTTGTTGATGGACACTGTTCGGACAACAGAACGTACAAATATTAGAGTATTCAGATCACCGAAGACGCTACTGTATTACACGATGTTTACAGGTCGATCTAATAGAACCGTGTCAACCGGATGGATAATAGACCGCGGTACCAGAATATCCGTCAGATTACACAGGCCAGTGGACACAAAAGCAAAAACGAGCTCAGAAAGAAAACGGAATGCGGAGAACGACGGGACCGTTCCCGGTATTGCTCATTAAGCAACGCTGGTGCATTCCGAACTTCGGGTAAATGATGCGTATCGGGTAAATAGTAGCTATCGCTCGGTTGTACACATAGTGGAGCGGATGATGAGCCAAGGAGAACGAAGAAAGATGCAACAGTAACACGGCATGTGATAGGGTGGGGGATCCGAAAAAGAGAAAAATTTAGTATAGGTGTACATCTGTGATCAGTGTGACCTAACCGGGCGTTAGTCCCCCCCCCCCCCTCTCCCCCATATGAGCGTATATACCAACTCGTCCGATTCACGCGGTGCTTAGAGGCTGTGGTTCGACGTAGAAGGAAGCGAAACGAACCAAGGGGTCTCTGTGTGGTGAACAGAGGACAGAGAAAGAGAAAGAGAGACGTAGCACGCGCGCGCGCGCTCTCGTACCAGGTGCCCATACCATCGAGCGCGTCACCATGCCGGAATAACGGTGCCTGGATGTCTCATCGGGTTCAATCGCAATCGGCAATCTTCTGCCGCGGAATTTCGCAAGGAAACGACCGTTTTGTCGTCGTGGTAGTCTTCCGTCGATTTACGACCGGCCGCTATTCGTCCGCCCTTGAGTACCGATCGACCCAATGGCCCCCTAGCCGTCCGACGTCCTCGTCGTCGTCGTTGTTTGATCTGGTGATGCGTGTCTTACGGACTCGCTTCTAATAAAGCCACCGGTACGGGCGCTATACCGCGATCACTTTGATTGCTTCGTTCCTTGCGCGAGACATCCTCTAACCCTGTATTATGATGCGCCATCGAACGCGCGATTCGTTCAGAATTTTTAACCCTTTTCCTCCTATCAACCCCCCCTCTAGTTTCAACCTGGATGGATCGTAATCGTTGAAGATGATGTTCTTTCGGGAAAGTAAGATTACATTTTTGAAATTCCATTGGGAATAAGATCCAATTTCATAAGTACTTTTAAATCCGAAGTGGCGCCGAGCACTTACTTCTGGCCCGAGTCGAATTATGTATTAACCGCACGGAGAAATTCGAGATAATGCTTGCAGTTTCAGAATTATCGAATCTAATTGAGAAGTGGGAAATGGAATTATCTGTTTATTCAATTAGTGCAGTTAGTGCTATTGGCACGATCCGTATATTGTGGTCGCCTCAGATATTACCTTTAGTTTTATTCGTTCGGTGAATTTCAGGTATCTTTAAACGATCGTTAGAGACGCGTATACAGATTATTTTATGCAATTAGTCCAACCAGTTTAACGAGTAAGGTGTCTGTAGTAATTGGATAAAGTATTTGCATAGTATGATACGTCAGTTTTCAAGTACTAATTGTCATAAAAATTATAGCATTTAAAACGGAATATTTTATTTAGAATAT